AGGGGGGTTGGACTAGATGACCCACAGAGGTCCCTTCCAACCCCTGCTATTCTGTGATTCTGTGATTCTTACACCTGCACATCTCAGCACGCTATTTAATCCAGTTACTTCTCACCACCACTGTCCCTCAGTCTCACCGCCTCTGTTTTGCCTTCACTCGTTAACTCTTCAACCACCTGCCTTCAGCTGCTACCTGCAGTGGGAGAACGCAGCAAGCCTGGTCTCCTGTACGGCCTTTCCATTCACCTACATCTCAGTGCTGAAAACAAACACCTCGAGGGTCGCCTTTTAGTTTGTTTCAACAACATTTTAATCGCACAGATCTCCTGAAGAAGGAGAAACAGACTATCACGAGGTCATGATCCCGTTTTTATTTCGGAGACAAATGTTTGGAAGGGTGTGCAGTGTTGCTTGACATGGGAAGAAATAGGTGTACATAAACCACGCTCCCAGTCAGCGCAGCGGCATGCACAGCGATACCTCTTCTCCGAGGTATCTTATGTCACGTCTACCACAGCATTTCCTGTCATGTGGTAGGGAAGGGGAAGAAACTGCGTACGTGTATCTTTGAGTGTGGTTCTGTCCCCAGCTACCACATACGTGAGCATCCGGACACAGAGGGAGAGATACTCATTCCCCAGCTCCACCACAAAGCACCCGTTGACCTGGATCACTTGCAACTTACCTCCTTACCCCTGAGAGTTAATAATTCATTTTTCTCTATCTATCTTTCACGCAGACAGAGCTTCTCAAGCAGGACCTTAACAGAATTAGTATGAAATAAACTGTGTATATGCCTCAGCCAAGGTTGGTATGTGCTATTAGAAAGAGGTCATGGGATAATGTTACAGGCTGTCAGGCTGCAGCCACCCCTGAGGAATTTGCCAGCTGTGACACACCTTCCCGAAGATTTTGGCTTCCCTCCTTCGCATATCTCTGCATTATCCAACTTGCTCTCCTCCTGCCAGTGATGGCTGAGTTCTTCCATGTGCACACCAATCACATCCCGAATCACCTGGTGATTAAGGCATATTGAAAACAAACAAAAGAAGCAGGATGTCATGGTAGCAGCCTCAACTAGCAACCAGACAGCAGAAGGTATATGTCTCAAAAAAAACTTCCCCAAAACCCTACACATCAGATGTATCAATGAAAAGTCTTACTGGCAGAAACAGCCATTTCAGCATAAATTTAATACCATCAGTTTACAACAGACAGTAAACTACTAGATGAAAAGTCTTACTGGCAGAAACAGTCATTTCAGCATAAATTTAATATCATCAGTTTACAACAGACAGTAAACTACTATCTTCCTTGTATTTTCACATTCAAAATTTAATAGTCAGAAATGCTCCTGTTATTTGTACCCTGCTGCAACAAACCAAAACAAGATTCCTCTGTAGTTTGCAACTCTAAGGCAGCGGAAAAAACACACATTTTCCTCGTCTAAAAGGCTACATCATTGTTTATGCTGATATAAAATAAGCACTTTTGTCCAAAAAAATCCCCCAAACCAATAGAGCTTTCTCTTCAGATACTCACCTCCGTGTAAGACTTCTTGGTTATATGAACATTCTTAGCCCTGTAGGACTGCCGCCGCCTTTTGTAGTCTCGCATTTCAGCCAGAATTTCAAGATGGGACTTTGGACCTTTCTGACTATCATCTAGCAAAAAATTGGAAGTAAAACAAATGGTCACCAGCAGGACATTAGCACATGCAGGTATGCAAGTCTGGTGCTTTAGTAGTAAGTCCGAAACATAAAAGCTGCTGTGTTCCTTCTGAAGTTTCTCCAGTATTCAGTAACCATTACGAACTCAGCAATAGCTTCCTCTCCAACCTTCTTGCTAGCTGTTTGCACAAGACTAAAAAGCCACCAAGCAAATGTTGTTACATGACCTCAGTCTCCTGACAGTGATCCAAACCAATATACGTGCTTGTGATTTGGCCAAATGTCTACAAAACACAGGCCTTGTATCAAAGCCAGTATTACAATATGACACACAGATTCAGAAAGCCAGATTACCGAGATGACAGACACTATCTCCTACCTCCCAGGCATAGCAGGGCCCACAGGATCACACAGATGCTGATGTTGCGCTTGGTATAGTTACAAACCAGCATGGCTCAACAGGGACGAGAGGCCTCGGCCCAACACACCCATCTGTGTATTGCTCACGAGCTCCATCCCACGACTGCCAACCTTTCTTGTTTGGCTTTTAATCTTAAGTGATCTTTAATCTCATCATCTGTTACAACAAATACTGTTCCAGGATGCACAAAGCTGGCAACATTCAGCAACCTGAAGCCAGCTGCAGGAAAGACAAAAGATCCACCCACTAAGATCCACACAATGGCTGTGCCAAGAGCAGAGCACCCAGGCTTTCTCAGAAGGAAAACAACATAAAGGCCACCAGACCAGTGTCTTCTGATGCCAGGTCTTCGTTGTGGCTTTCAAGAACAGTGTTGATAACTGTAAATGTAACAAATGTAACATGTAGGGGATGTTATCACTTCAGGTGGTCAGAATCATTGCACAACCAAAACAAGTCTTGGTTCTTTGTGAATAATTGGGACGGTTGCAAGATAAGGGACTCCTGAATAATCCCTTTAGGCCCCTGGGCCTTGGGAGAACAGGTATTGAGAAGCTCAAACAAACAAACAATACAGTAAACATCCATGTTGTTTTCATCCTTCCTGTACGTATCTGTAAGAAGTTTTATCCTTCTTAATTTGAAAGGATAAAAAGGGAACGTATGAGGTTGGATCAAAAGGATGCTCTGTATTGTCCCATCGGTTTCAGCTCTGGGCTTACAAGCCAAAGCAAGAGAGAGGAGGCTGCAGCTCTAACTTGTGGGTTTGTCTTTCACTCCTAAAATTTTCTGTAAAGTACTAGCTGCAAAATACCTGTTGATCTGCCAACAAGAATGAAAGCTTCTAGGAGACCAGATAACTGGGCACTGTGCAAATCGGTCTCACTCCCATTGTCACTTTCCCTGCAGAGCTTTTGTAACAGACTGCCACAGGCACTGATAGCTAAAAGGGCTACAAAGGCACTTTAAAGACGCTCCAGACTCATTCAGATAACTGAAGTTCTGCAAACAAAACATGCTGCCTGCACACTCTTCTTTCCCTGAATGACCAGCCCAGTTACTCAGTCTTCCCAGGCCCCAATCAAAACACACATCCTCCAGACAAACAATAAATCCATTCTCAACCCCTGCAACAGCAGCAAAGCGACTTCCCTGAAGATACAGGATGCAGCACGCTAGGGCACTGCCTGCAGAAAAGCACTGTACTTGAGAACACTCAAATTTCCCCACCCTGTGGCCACTGACCTGACCTGCACAACCCCGCTCCCCATGACCCAACCTTCTCTCCCGCAAGGCACAACCCCACACTGAGGAGCGTCTCCAGGGAGGCAGCAGAGCTGACACCTGAGACAGGGTGCAGGCAGCAGCCCTCACAGCAGCAACGCTACTGCTCCTCTAGATTATTCAGCACTTAACGGAAACCCGGGCAATCTTTCACACCCTGCTTTCACTGAAGACACCAAAGAAAAGAAGCCACCACAAATGCAATTTACCACAACAAACCTAACATACAAGATTTCCTCATTACTGGGCTTGGAACCTGAACCAGAACTTTTCTAATCTGAACTAACATATTTAAACACGAACACCAGACTTTTATTTTTAAAACACACTGTCCTTGCAGGGTCACAGAAGCCCATGAATGTGCCTCAGTAGTTACGTGCTTGCGGTTTCACAAGAATTCCACAACTTGTGATGAAGACCAGCCTTCCTGCCCCCTTATATAGCTATTCTAATACTCTAATATTCTACATATGGTTCAAATTTTCTAAAAACAAAGAAAGAAAATCACTTGCTTTGGTACAGTTAGTCAAATGGAAATTTACAATGAAAAATGTTTTCCATTTGTTTCTGTTGCCGAAGACTTTATATTAAACAAACACTTCCAAGTCAGTAAATCTTAGAACAGACCAAGATGCCACAATGAAAAGCACTCCACACTGTTTTAGTGCTCTCTTCAGAGAAATGCAAGCTTGCAGTGAAAACTGGATGACAAATACTGGCATCTAGGAGCTCACTGATGTGCCTTTGCAATGCAACCACTTCATAAAGGGTTTATCTGTTTCTCCCCTACTTGGATGTGCTCGTGTCAAATTAATGAGTTACCACTTGTCTCCAGAGAAAACACACCTGACGTGCTCCAAACACAGTGCCCATCACAGGAAAGCACCTTCCCAAGCAACTGTCCGATGAGCCTCCATCCGCTATGCCGGAGAAACAAAGACAACACAAAAACCTATGCCTGAGCCAGCGCTGCTGCATTTCACTGTCAAGGCAAGAAAGGAGAACAAATGCACTTTTCCTTTTGCACATATGTGTTTACCAAACTCTAAGACTACAGACAGTAAATGCTGTATCTTTCAGGTGTTGCAACTGTCAAACCATACGCTGCAGCTCTGCGGTGGTTTCTGTAAGTAGCCCTGCTTTTCTACTCAGTCTTTTCTACTCTCAAAGAGAAGCACAGCTGAGACTTAACCTACTCCTCAGACTGGGCACAAAACCCAATGAAAAACGAAACACAAAGGAACTAATGAGCTGAGAGCAGTGGCAAAGGACAACAACATATTTGCAGATGTATCAGCATATTTATTATACAACTTCTTAGGATGAGTCTTGAAACAATCCAACATAGTAACAATAATACAGGCGTTGTCTGGTCTTTGATCTGAGCAGTGCTGGACAAGCACACATAGCTGATATCTGACAATTAATCCTTAAACAAAACAAAAAGCAGTCCTCATTTTCCTCCCCACCCATCACATGCAGAACAAGGCTGGAGACAGTATCAGAAAATGCAGGCAGAAAGTACAGTGTAGGTAGGAGGATGGAAAGTGAAGGACTAGTGCTTTAAGGGACTCCTGAACTTTGTAGTGCCAATTTTCCAGTCCTGAATAGAACTAGAGGCGTGAGCACAAAAGACTCAAATTCTCTTATCCAGCTGCCCCGAGCAGAGAAAGTAGTTATGGTCCACAATATACAAGGGAAGGAATGTTAAAAATAAATTTTTAAAATTCCTCATAGCAGTTCATAAGTGGAATCAAGGAAGCTGTGAGGGGTGAGACAAGAGCAGCTCTCCACACGAGAGCTGACAGAGTTGTCTCAGTATCTGCTTACTACTTACCTTCGCTGTAGCTGCCACCTTCTTTTGCACTTTGAGCTCTAGCTTGCTTCAGAATGTGAAACTGCAGATCTTTATCTGGACACAGAGAAGACAAAAATATCACAGAACTTTTATATCAGGTACTTAGTAGAGTTAGTCTTTATCCCCCAACCTCAATTATGAGATTTATGGTATGTTACAGAGCATTGTAGTTTTATTTTTGCAGAAGGGAAGGTCTGAACTGAAAATATAATTTTAATCTATTCTGTATTTTAACTGAGAGGGAGTAGAAAAAAAAAGAAAAGAAAGGTTTCTAGGTTAGCAAGGATATAGAAAAATAAACGTATGTATATTACAACTCTATTCTGTACCACTGCTATAACCCCAAAATCTAGGGCCAATTTTTCCACCTTCTAAGCATGCATTTTGGCACGCTTTCTGCACCTGATGCAAGAAGAACACAGGAAGAAGCTAGAAAATAACCTAAGAAGAAAAACAAGATCCTCCTTGGATTTTAAGATGAAAACAGCCAAGCGACCTACAGAGCAGAATTACACAGCGACACAAGCACAACGGCTGTAAATTAAGGCAAAGCATGACGGCGACAAAACAAACCTACGTGATGAAAACACTTTTCGAAGAGGCCTTGGAGAGTTTACGGCTGGCGAGGCCCTGGACTCTGCCCCAGAAGGCAAAGCATGACGGCGACAAAACAAACCTACGTGATGAAAACACTTTTCGAAGAGGCCTTGGAGAGTTTACGGCTGGCGAGGCCCTGGACTCTGCCCCACAGGGTCCTCCTTCGACCCCATCCTCTGCCCCTCCCCCCGGGGGTCTCCCCTCAGCCCCTGCCCCCCACCGGGGGTCCCACCT